GGTCTGGGTTTCTCATACTGAGCATTGTGTTTCTCATACTGCTCGTACGCACCCAGGATGTGCGCGGGGATGAGCCCGTCCTCCTCGCCCATCTTGTCGCCGTAGAAGGCCCTGAGCCGGCGGCGCACGAAGGTGTGCAGCTGCTCGTACAGGGGGAACACCTGGTCCCACAGGTACTGCATGTCCTCGTAGAAGTAGTCCGTCTCGAAGCCGGCCTGCCACATCTGCCCCATGTCCTCGAAGTCTGTGCAGCAGAACGCAGAGAGTGAGAAAGCAAATCCTCGACCTTTCAGTGTTTCAAAGTGCCGCGCGTCGCCGACGCACTCGTACCGTTGGCGACGGCCGCCTTGTTCTGCAGCTCCACGTAGTTCTTGTAGTCCGCGCGCATGCGCTTGCCCGACGCGTCGTGCCACGCCTTCCACGTGTACGTCAGCTCGTCGTAGTCGCGGCTCTTGGACATGACGCCCTCCACCTCTGCGAAGACAAACGTCACAGAAAAAGATTGATTTCTCAATTTAAAAAATTGTGTACTTCTGTTCAGATTGGTTAGAAACGAAAACCAAGACGCACCAGGATCAAGCGCGTAGCCCTCCTTGTCGAGGTCGCAGTCCTGCTTCCTGTAGGGGCAGATCTTGGCGGTGCTGTACAGGTTCTGCATGCGCAGCTCGTAGCTGTTGAGGTCCTTGAGGTCGGTCTCGTTGAGCGCGGCCACGCCCAGCGACAGCAGGAACTCGACCTGGCGCCGCACGACGGGGTCATCGAAGCGCTCCGGGTCCAGGTCGTGGAAGTACTCCTCCCACTGCTCCTTCTCGAAGGCGGCCAGCGCCAGGTTTGCCTTTTCCTGCATGCATAGGAAGATCATCAGAGTCAGAGGAAAGGTAAAGAAACGAAAATAATTTTTTGAACTGTACAGAATGTCCGTACGTAGAGCTCCTCCTTGGTGGTGTTGGTGAGGTCGGTGATGTACTCCCACTCGGCGGTGATGGCCTTGTTGCAGGCGGCGCTGGCCTTGCGCTCGTACGGGCCCGCCAGGTACTGGGTGATGAAGGGCACGTCGTACTGGTTGGCGGCGGCCGCGCTCCGGGCCACCCTGCGGTTGGGGCCGCGCCCCGCCACCACCAGGCCGCGGGAGCTCCGCTGGCACCTCGCCGACGACGGCGCGACCGCCAGGCCCGCCAGGCAGCCCGCCGCCAGCAGCAGGGCGGCCAGCTTCATCTGCAACAAATAAGGAGCGCGCCGTCAGCCTCGACGACATCACCCTCCGAACCACTACGAAGAAGGTGACGAGCTAGGTGTTGTCGGTCCTCCTGGACACCCCGACCGAAACGCGTCCAGGATGTTCACTCACTCGAGAGCGGCCCGCCAGCGCTTTCTCTGATCGAACCTCCGCTGAAAAGAGTGCAATTATCGAGTGATCGAACCTTTGAGGAGCCTGCAATCACTGAGCATATGTCCCGTTTGGGCCCGCCCCGCTCCACACTTATGAGTCGATCGAGGCCGATGATACGGCGACGGCAGTGTGCTTCGAACGGTGTATGCGCGCCATTCCCTACTATGCAAAAAAATAAATTGAAAAATAGCACAACACATTCAAAATTCGCGCTCAGGAATGTTATTGTAATAGAATTTGGAAAACAATTTGTGTAAAATTTAAAGTTAGTTTGTTTTTGTCTTTTACTTCAGTGCGGGCGAGTGGAGTCACTCCCGTGTTTTCTCTAGAACACACTTACTGCGTCGTGTGAGATCGTCCATCACGGTACGGCACCGCTTTTATTTCATGCCCCTACCCCCCTCCCCCTTCCTCCCTCGCTCCCGCACCTTTATCGTCCACGGTTTAATTTGCCGACGCCTTTCGCTGCGATGCATCGCCCGTTACATAAAAGTCGTGATGTCGCGCGGCGGGAGGGGAAGGGCGGGGCGGGCGAGTGTTCATTGCGACAGGGTTTGCCTTACCAGTCCGTCACGCCGAGTGTGTGTGTGTGTGTGTTTGTTTATTGAGAAACGGCAATTATATCATTGCGGCGTGCGCCAAAAGCGCTGCCTAAAAGTATGCGCGGGTCGCCAGGTTGCAGCGCCATATGGCAGCACGCTGCAACCCGCCGCGGCACGTACGACGTTGCGGAGCCGTCGGTCGTCGCGACGGCACATCGATGCGTCGTGCTTCGCCTCGAGCTTCACGTGGCGTCGCGGCCCCGGCCTGGAGCGCCTGCCGCGCAGGCCGCCCCTGCGCGCGGCGGCAGGACGGGTGGCCTAACGCGACGGGCGGCTCGAGCGCGGCGGCAGACACCGTCTCAAAGCGGGCGGCCGAGCTGAAGCTCATGCCCAACTTCAGACAGGTTCAACGCGATTGGCGCCGGGAGGACGCTCTTTCACTGTTCATCAGGACCCACAACCAACATCGACGCGATGCATCGACTCTCGATAACATCGAGAAAAATGTGTAGCGGGGTATCACCGATACAAGATGGGTGGTAAATTAATCGCAAAGTATCCAATGTGTGGCATATCGACGACATTTTACGAAACCCCCCGCGCTTCGCCGATATCGAGATAGTATCGAGATATCGCTCGGCCCTGCCTATCGCCCGCGACTGCGGTGGCGATCGCCTCCGCCCGCCGCTCATATAGTTACGCACGGGGGGGAAGTGGATTACCGGCGGGAGGCTTTCACTTGTTTTTGCTATTATCGCTCGAGTGTGTGTGGCGGGGAGGTGTCCGGCTGCAAGGTAGATCATGTACCAGCAGCCGTCCGCCTGTCTGGTTGTCTGTCAGTTCCGCAGACTGCTGACACACACACGCACACACACACACACAGACGACACTGTAGAAGAGGGTTGATGCGGAGCTAGGCTGGATCAACCATAATCCATAACACATTCTATGGTACGAGGAGTATTTCGGTCCACCGTCGTCGGCAGAGACGCGCGCGTCGTGCAGAAGACCGGAAGGCTCGTCAGCATCCCTCCCCGCCGCAAGGAGTGTCCCGGAAACACAATTACGACGAGGTATCGAAGCGAAATGTAATTGCAATAGCCGGGCTGATCTAGGTAGTGGCGAGCCGGCCGGCCGGAGGCGGCGGCAGCGGCCGAGTGCGCCGCGAGGTGCGGGACGAATCATCGGGAGCGAAGCCACACACCACGCAGGCCGGGCCCGCGAGGAGCGCGCGCGCACACACACACACACACACACACACACACACACACACACACATGGATGGAACCCATCTGGACAAGGGCAGTTCCTGGTGCGGATCATCACATTATCGGACTGTTTGTATCTCACGTCGTGCAGAACACTGAACAGATCGTACATTTCTTCAAGTGTTGCAATATCCTCATAAGAACACACATACTACACTCTCTCGAAAGTCATAAACAAGTTTTAAAGTATGTTTTTTCAGATCCATGGGTTGGGGGAAAAATTAGACAAACACCTACTTCTAGGAAAGCCAGATCAGTTCATAAAAAGTACAATGCAAAAACGTTACTTATTATTATGTATATTAATCCATATTTAGTCTATGTATTTTAAGGTATATCCTGCCAAAAAGTATCTACTTTAGACTTTGGGAAACTTCTGGTCTTGATTCAAGAATTAGCCTTTCTGCGTGTTCTTCACTGTGGGCGGGTGGTGGGTGCCAGTTTAAACTATTGATCTGCCATCCTCGCACTCTTGTAGGCAGGGGAAGGACCTCTTAGGAGGTCAATTGGCGATTGGCGAGGAACGTTCATCTCGCTCGCACCCATTTGGCTCAGTCCTCTGATTGACAGCCGAGCAGACCTAGGCCGTCAGACCCTTCCCTCGGCCAGCCGAGCTGAGGTACACAGAACAGCCGCTGAATCACCCGCCGCGGCCTGATGTGGTATCGGTACTACTGTCAAACTGCACCACCCACCCACACGGCGCTCTCGCTGTCTCCCCGCGCAGCTCGCGCGGTGGAGTGGCCTAGTCTACCGCCATGTGCTGCCAACGCCCTGCCACGCCCCGCCCAGCGTCCGCACCACGCCCCGGGGTCGCTCCAGTGGCCTGCAATCGCCGGCAGCAGCCAGTGGCGGAGGAGTACTGTAATAGCCAGCGTTGAGAGAGAGCGAGAGGGAGAGAGCGAGAGGGAGAGAGAGAGAGAGAGAGAGAGAGAGAGAGAGAGAGAGAGAGA